CAGAATTTACTTTTCAGAAACTAATATTTTCCTGCCCGGGGGAAATGACAGATGATTGATGGTGGATTAGGGGTGTGTGTGTGTACGCACGTATGTGAGTGTATGTGCATTCATCTGCTTCTATGAGCAGGCGAAGGCTGCCCCCCCCAACCCTATCTCCAGGAAAAATAGGCTGAGGTTGGCTACAGAAGTGGGAAACACCTGAAGCCCATAAAACTGCCTGCAGCAACCTCAGAAAGTCAACAGGATGAGGAGCCAGACAAATAGGAGCTGGCACCAGGAAAGATCTGCTGTGCCATGTGGGTTAGCTCCCTGGCTGGGGATCGAACTCAGCCTGGCACCAGGAAAGTTGATTTTGGCCCGGGTCCCATGCAGAAGGGGGATGCCCTGGCCAGGAAGCATCCCTCAGACTTCTTTATTATTATTATTTTTAAAGATTTATTTATTTATGCATACAAGAGCTGGGTACAGGCCAGAGATATGGGGGGTGAGAGGATTCACCAGAGACAGAGTGGGGGACAGAACAGAAAGACCGATGAAGTGTACTGCTGAGAGGAGCAGAGGGCAAGACAGGAGAGACCTGCCTCGCCATGTGGGTTTCTCCCTGGCCGGCCAAGGATCGAACTTGTGCTGCAGAGGCTGTGGATAGTGTCATAGTGCTGTGCTTAACCCCTTGCACCACCAGGGAGGCCCTTTTTTTTTAGCATTTTCTTTTTTTTTTTTTTTTAAAGTTTATTATTATTATTATTATTATTTTTTTAAGAGGCATATTTATTTATTTATTTATTTATTTTGTTTCGTTTGTTTGTTTATACAAGCACTGGGTACAGTCAGAAGCGCGGGAGGGTGAGAGAATTCACCAGAGCCAGAGCGGGGAGCAGAGCAGGCAGAAGGACCGAAGTACACTGCTGAGGGGAGCAGCGGGCGGCAGGAGAGGTCTGCGCGCCATGTGGGACCCTCCTCCGGTGACTGGGGAGCAGCCGGGGATCGAACCGGCGCCACAGAGGCCGCAGGCAGCCTCGCAACCCAGCGCTCAACCGCTGCGCCACCAGGGAGGCCCTTTTTTAGCATTTTCAAAGGGCAGATTTGTCAGTAAAAGGGGAAAGAAAAAAAGAGGCACCTGCACAGTCACAAGCAGGCAGAGAGCTGCTGTTGCTGCTTTGCCTAGGGAAAAGATTTGCAAAAAGAGACTGACCCTGGCTTCTAGCAGACTGCAGGGTACTTTCTGCTGCTGTTAAGTTTACAATTGGGAAACTGATTCTATGGTTTCCCCAGCCTTTGGGGCTGGACACTAACCTATCACCATGAGTTTTGGGGGTCATGTTACTTGTGAAATGTGTTAGATCATTGGTAATGTCAGAAAAAAAGAAGCCCTATCAATTGAAGCTCTTGGTTTATAAAGGACTGAAGTTGGAGCCTCACTGGTGGCAAAGGGGTTAAAGTCTCAGTGCTATCAAGCTATTGCCAGCCACTGCGGCAGGAGTTCGATCCCCAGCCAGGGAGCTAACCCACATGGTGCAGCAGACCTCTCCTATCTCGCCCGCTGTTCCCCTCAGCAGTGTATTTCAGTAGATCCACCTGTTCTGTTCCCCACTCTGTCTATAGTGAATCCTCTCACTACCCAAACCTCTCATCTACACCATAGCTCTTGTATGCATAAATAAATCTTTAAAAAAAAAGAGAGGGCCTCCCTGCTGGCGTAGGGATTAAGCCTCGTGACTATAAAGCTACCCCCCCCACACACACCCCTCTGGTCTATACCCCAGCTCATTTTTTCAAAGATTTATTTATTTTATGCATACAGGCCAGAAGTGTGGGGGTGAGAGGATTCACCAGAAACAGAGTATGGAACAGAACAGGCAGACTGAGTGAAATACACTGCTGAGTGGAGTAGCGGGCGAGACAGGAGAGGTCTGCTGCACCATGTGGGTATCACCCTGGCCTGGCCAGGGATCGAACTTGTGATGCAGAAGCTGGGGATAGCTTCACAGTGCTGTGCTTATTAACCCCTTGCACAACCATGGGCGCCCTACACCCCAGCTCTTGTATGCATAAATAAAATAAATCTTTTAAAAGAAAGCAAGGAAGGAAGAAATAACTAAGGTATACATTGAGTTTTTATTTAGAAAAGCAAAAAGTCACAAGCTAAAAGCAAACAAAATGGCTTCCTTGAATAGATGGAGAAATCAGGCTCGGCTTGCAATCGAAAAGAAGAAACAGGGCCTCCCCAGTGGCGCAGCGGTTGAGCGCTGGGTTGCAAAGCTGCCCGCAGCCTCTGCAGCGCCGGTTCAATCCCCAGCTGCTCCCCGGCCACCAGAGGGTCTCACATGGCATGCAGACCTCTCCTGCAGCCTGCTGCTCCCCTCAGCAGTGTACTTCGGTCCTTCTGCCTGCTCTGCTCCCCGCTCTGGCTCTGGTGAATTCTCTCACCCTCCCGCGCTTCTGACTGTACCCAGTGCTTGTATGGATAAATAAATAAATCTTTAAAAATAAAAAAAAAAGAAGAAACAGGGCCTCCCTGGGGGCGCAGGTGGTTAAGCACACTGCTGTGAAGCTGTCCACAGCCTCTGCAACGCGGGTTTGATCCTGGCTATCCTGGGAGATATCCACATGGCGCCGCAGACCTCTCCTGTCTTGCCCGCCGCTCCCCTCAGCAGTGTGTTTCTGTTGGTCTGCCTGTTCTGCTCCCCACTCTGCTCCCCGCTGTCTCTGGTGAATCCTCTCACCCTCCCGCACATCTGTCCTGTACCCTGATTCTTGTATGTATGAATAGATAAATCTTTTTAAAAAAAATAAATAGAGAAACAATTGGCCATGAACTTTCATTCCTGCAGGTGGAGGATCTGGGAGAGAACCCAGAAGGGCTCCTCCCTTCAGCCACTCTATCCCAGAATAGACATTTGACAGATTTTTCAGGAGGGGACGGAGAGAAAAACGAATTTTAAAAATTTAATTTTTCCAACTTCAGTACCATTTTATTTATTTAAAGATTTATTTATGCATACAAGAGCTGGGGTGCTGCAGTGGCTGTGGGTAGCTTCATAGTGCTGAGACTTAACCCCTTGTGCCATCAGGGTGGCTCTGAATTTTCCTCTTTACTTAGCATTGGGGTGTAGCCAGATTTTCCCAACCTCTGCAATGTGGACATTTAAAGCCAGGTGTTTTGGTAACTTTCTTGGGCACTGTGGGGTGATGAGCAGCATTCCTGCTCCTCCAGGAGCACCTCCAGTCTTGACAACTGCAGATGTCCTCAAAGATCATCGTGTCCCCTGGGTGGGGTGGGGTCAAAAGGCAAATGGCTGAGAATCTCTGGGTTAAACATACTTATTTCTGAGTTAAACCCACAATTAACAATTGGATTTGGGCCTCCCTGGTGGGGCAGTGGTTAAAGACAGTTCTATCAAGCTATCACCAGCCACTGCAGCCATGAGTTTGAGCCCAGGCCAGAGAGCTAATCCACATGGCACAGCAGACCTCTCTTGCCTCACCTATATTTCAGTATTTCTGCCTGTTCTGCTCCCCACTCTGTTTCTGGTGAATCCTCTCACACACTCCATCTCTAGCTTACACCCCCAGTTTTTACATGCATAAATAAATAAATCTTTAGGGCCTCCCCTGGTGGCGATGCGGTTGAGCATAGCGCTGTGAAGATGTCCACAGCCTCTGCAGCGCAGATTCGATCCCCACTGGCCCGCGAGAATCCCACATGGCACCGCAGACCTCTCCTGTCTCGCCCACTGCTCCCCTCAGCGGTGTACTTCGGTCAATCTGCCTGTTCTGTTCCCTGCTCTGTCTCTGGTGAATCCTCTCACCCTCCCTCGCAACTGGCCTGGACCCGGTTCTTATATGCATGAATAAATAAATCTTAAAAAAAAGAGCAAAAATAAACAAATCTTAAAAAAAAAAAAAAAAATTAGAGGGCCTCCCTGGTGGCGCCAGGGGGTTAGCACTGCAGTATGAAGCAATCCCAAGCCTCTGCAACACGAGTTCGATCCCCGGCCTGCCAAGGAACAACCCACATGGTGCAGCAGACCTCTCCTGTCTCCCCGCTGCTCCCCTCAGCAGTGTATTTCAGTAGATCCTCCTGTTCTGCTCCCCACTCTGTCTCTAGTGAATCCTCTCACCTCTGGCATCTCAGGCCTGTACCATAGCTCTTGTATGCATAAATAAATAAATCTTTAAAAAAAAACTGGATTTGGGCCTCCCCGGTGGCGCAGCGGTTGAGCGCTGGGTTGCGAAGCTGCCCGCGGCCTCTGCGGCGCCGGTTCGATCCCCGGCTGCTCCCCGGCCACCGGAGGAGGGTCCCACATGGCGTGCAGACTTCTCCTGCCGCCCGCTGCTCCCCTCAGCAGTGTACTTCGGTCCTTCTGCCTGCTCTGCTCCCCGCTCTGGCTCTGGTGAATTCTCTCACCCTCCCGCGCTTCTGACTGTACCCAGTGCATGTATAACCAAACAAACAAACCAGCAAACAAATAAATAAAGCATGCCTCTATAAAAAAAAAAAAAAAAAGAACACTTCTATAAAAAAAAAACTGGATTTGCTCATCAAGTAGCACGTTTTGCTTGGGAGCGTCCAGAGTTTCCCTTTGCCTGCACTGCAGACAGGCCGACGCGCTGGTGGGCAGAGTCCAGGACCCGAACAGGAATCTGATCCCACCCAACTCTTTGGGGTCATCCCCTCCGGAACCACGTGGCCGCAGCCAGGGTCACGTGGTCCTCTGCCTCAGTTTCCCCATTTTGCTGAGTTCCCAAAGAGCCACCCAGGACTCCGACGTCTCGCGGCCACCACCAAGGGTCTCAAACCCAAAGCACAGCGCCCGCCAGCTTCTCCCGCCCGCCCCGCGCTCAAGCGCTGAGAGGGGCGGGGCGGAGCGGCCGCGCGCGGCGTTATGGGAGTTGTAGTCCCGGCCCCGCCTTCCCCTCGCACCGCCCCCGCCCCTGGAACTACGCTCCCGTCGTGCCCCGCGGCCGGGCGGAGGCGGGGCTGGCGGGCGGTTGCTAGGACTTGCTGAATCGCCGCGTTCGCGCCGGTCTCCCCAGGTAAGCTCGTGGCCTCGGGCGGCGCGTGCTCGCGGCCCCCGCGCCTGGGTCGCGTTCTCGAGGGGCGACGGCGGGGGCCTCACCTGCCGGCGCCGGCCGCGCGGGGAGCGAGCGGCGGCCGGGCCGGGTCGCGCGCGCCGCGGGAGGCTAGGCGGGGGGGCCGGCGCGTGCGCAGGCCGGGCCGGCCCAGATTTGTGGCGCGCGCCCCTGCGCCCTGGGCCCGAGGCCCCGTGGCCAGCTGCTTCCTGTGCGCGCCCCCGCCCCGCGCGAGCCCGGCCCTGCGCTGTCTTCGCCGCCTGACCGCCCCTCGGGGCGCGGGCCCTCGGCACTGTGCATCCTGAGAGTCGGTACTCAGCCCAGTGCTTACTGAAGTGTGAGCTTTTCAGCTGTTTCATCTTAGCCCTGGGCCTCTCCCGCACCTCGTATGCCTGAGTTCTCGAACTTTCATGCATCAAAAGCCTCTTTTTTTTTTTTTAAAAGATTTATTTATTTATGCATACAAGAACTGGGGTACAGGCCAGAAGTGTGGGGGGTGAGAGGACTCACCAGAGACAGAGCGGGGAACAGAACAGGCAGACTGACGAAATACACTGCTGAGGGGAGCAGCGGGCGAGACAGGAGAGGTCTGCCGCGCCATGTGGGTTGCTCCCTGGCCGGGTGTCGAACTCGTGCTGCAGAGGCTGCGGATTGTTTCATAGGTTGCGTCTTAACCCCTTGCGCCACCAGGGAGGCCCCTCAAAAGCCTCTTTGTGTGGTGGCCAGGTTCAGCAAAAAGCACTTAGGACGCCCTCATTAAATTTGAGTTACACATAAACAACGAGGTTTTTTTCCTCCCCCAAGTATAAGAATAAGATGGCTTGGGAAATGCTTATGCTAAAAAATTGTCTCCTCATCTGGTATTCAGATTTAACTTGCGTCCAATGTGTTCACTGCAGACCCACTCCATTGGAGAGCTTGTTAGAAATGCAGATTTCAGACCTAGCTTCCTTTCAGAGGGGCCAAGTCCTGGGAAGTGCATTTGACACCAGCACCCACCTGGTCTGTGGGCACCTTCTAGACTCCAGCACTGGTGTTTTTTCTGTTCAGGACTCCCTTCTCTACTTTGCCCACCTTCCAGCCCCAGCTATGGTCACTGCCTCCAAGAAGCCCTCCAGGATGTAACTTGCCACAGTTAGGATACTGGGTGATTGTGGTGGCACGGTGGGATTGTTAAAGGAACCTCACTGTAACCCAGAACTGTGCTGGGCCTGGCATGGATTTTTTCACTTTTCTGCTCCTGACAATCTTTTGTGAAGGTGATGGGATTCACTTTTCATGGAGGGCATTGCTGGGAATGGGAGTAGGGATGAGGACAAGGCTGGAAGTCTTGCGGCAAAGACACTTTTGGCCGGGACATGAATGTCTAGTGCAGGGCCCAAACACATCCAGGTTTAGGCTGTGTTTTCCCTGGACTTGGTGCCCTAATGCAAGGATAAGATAGGGCCTTCTTGTCCACAGGATCTGTGTTAAATGTAGTTCCTGACTCAGCTGAGCTCAGGAAGAAGCACATCCCGTTGTCCCACAGCCAGGGTCGACTCCTACTGGAGCCTCATGTGGCCCCAGGCATTACAGTGCTCATTGGCTTTCTAGTTGGGTGCCATGAGGGGGTGTCCTAAGCTGCTGAGGGACCTCTCTGTTAGGGACTTGTCTCCCTGGTGCAATAAACCTTCCACAGCCCATAGTCCCTGGGGCAGAGGCTATATGGCAGTGGAACCTCCCCTCCCTGGATGGTCAAAACCTCAGGCAGGCATAGCTATGAATGTAAAGGGTGGTCCTGAAGAGGCTCTAGTGCGTGGCCCTGCTCTGAGATCTTTGCTCTTGGTTGATGCAGATAGCTGTGTCCTCTGGCCCTGGAGACAGGATGCTGCCATAACTGTAGGCTTGGACAGGGAAGGGGCTGGACTGGCCAGGTCCTGTGGAGAGTTGCAGGGGAGGAGTGTGGTGACAGCCAGGGTGGCCTGTGGTCATGCTTCAGACCCATGTGTATTTGAGCAAACATCTGTGCCCTGGGTGCTGTTGCTAACCCCCCTTGAAGTGATACAGCTAGGAATTTGGGCTGGTTGCCCTTTGCGGAACCTGCTTATATCTATAGAGTGGGGTAAGAACCCATCTTACAGGGGGTCTCAGAAGGCAGAATCAGAGAGCTGTTGAGCCTGGCATCAGATTCTGGGGTGCGGCTGCTGGGTTGGATCGTGGCTCGGAGTCTCGTTTTGTTCCAAATAGCCAGATAGTTCTGGGGCTTCCCTCCAGGTCATTAGAGAAGTAGGGGATTTTTGTGTGGTAGGGAGAGGATGGCAGTGGTTACAGTGACAGTACCTGGCGTTCCAGGCAGTGGCACTGGGGGTCACTTCATCTAGCACTCCCTAGGTGTCTTCCCCCTCCTTATCTTTAACAGCAGCTTTAGTGAGATCCTTCCGATATTATGCAATTCACCCATTTAAAGCGTTACATTTCAGTGGTTTTTAGTGCCTTTACAGAGTTGTGCAGCTGTCAATTCTGTGTAGTTTTAGAACATTCCATTGACACAAAAGGAAACCTCATCCTTATCAGCAGTCACCCCCTACCCCTCCCCAGGCCCTGATACCATGAACCCACTTTCTGTCTGTGGCTGGGCCTGTCCTGCACGTTTCTCATCAGTGGCTTCACATTGTGTGGTCTTGTGTGTCTGGCTTCTCCCTGAGCGTCGTGTGCTCAGGGTCTCAGTGAGTATCAGACCTTCCCTCCATGTCATGACTGAGACTCGGTGTAGGGATGGTGCTTTCTATCTACTTATCCACTCAGCCACTTGGACTGACTCCACCTCTGGCTGTTGTGAGCAGCACTGCTGTGCGCGTGCAGGCTTCTGTGTGAGCCTGAGTTTTCAGGTCCCATGGGTACATACTTGGAGCGGAGTTGCTGGGTCAGATGTTGACTGTCCAGTGGGTTTTGTCTGTCCTCCCTAGGAGTTGGCAGCCCAACCAGCAGTGCCCAGTGGCAGCTAGTGTGTGTGTGTTTTGCTGCTTTTGTTTTTAATCAGACAGAGGTTGTACTCTTCAGGGGACAAATGAGACTGTGTCCCTCTTTTGCCCTGAAGACAGTGGGAGCTTTTGTGGCCTGGGGTGGGCCAAGCAGGCCGTGCTGCAGGATCCTGAGTGTGATGTGTGCTGGGAGCAGGATTCAATCAGTGCATGGAGCCTCCCTCTGTCCTGCCTGGGATAGGCCTTGAGGTACATGAGGGGCCACCTACCCTTTCAGCTTCTCAGCCTCCACCAGCATGCTGGTTGTATGTGTCTGCAAAATTTGTATCAGCTTAGGACTCATGCTGGTGGGGGAGGACCTCACCTTCCCTCTGAGGGGGCTGGCCAGTAAAAGAAACCGGGACCTTGGGAGCAAGGGGTGAGCCGGGGTGTACCTGGAGTGGTTAAAAACCCACAGTGAGTGGTAGAGTGATTTCAGCATGTTTTTGCCTTGGGGAGGAGGTGGGAGGGATGTCAGGGCCATGTGGTCTGGCTGGACAGTGGCACCTGAGATCCTTCAGGAGCACCTTCAGGTTACCGTTGCTTGTTTCTAATATTCCAGACAGAACTGACCAAAAGAAATGTAATACAGGGAAAATATGTTAAGTCTTGCAGAAGTTGTAATCTAAAAAAATATACAAAACAGGTGAAATTAATACTTCAGTCTAACGCTCTCCCGGCTAAGCTATTTCGGCCGCTGCTGAAATTAATACTAATGTTTATTTAACTCAAAAACAAAATATTGTCTTTTAACATGTAGTTAGTATAAAAAAATTGAACCAGGTTACATTCTCTTGTCATATTAAGTCTCCGAAATGCAGAGCATGTTTTCTGTTCATTGTGCATCTCAAAGGAAAAAAAAAAAACAAACCAACGTCACACACACACAAACACGCACACACAGAGTTGATCCTTGAGCAACTCAGGATTATGGACACCAGTCCCCACGCAGTTGAAAAATCTATGCTTCCCACAAAACTTAACTACAAATAGCCTGTTGACCAGAAACTGGAACAGAAACGGTTCACACCCGTTTTCTCTAGCACGCGCGTTACTTACTGTATTCTTAGGCTAACGTAAGCGAGAGGAAAGGAGATGTTACCCAGGAAATCCTCAGAAAGAGAACGTAACTTAGGGTGCCACCCTGTATTTAGGAACTAAGTTACCGTCTATTTATAAGAAAACCTGCTTATCAGCGCCCTGCGCAGGTGAAGCCCGTGGTGTTTGGGGGCCGATGTTACATGTAAAAGCTGCTCAGACTGTGCAACCCAAGAGTCCCTAGGATGTGAGCAAGCGCACGCGCAGTGGTGCCTGCATGTGGGCTCTCGGCTGAGCCTTCACGTTTGGCAGCTCCCAGGACGGACCCCTTCGTGCACCCAGACCTCCTGCAGCTGACGGATGATGCTCTGCCCGATCTCTGTCTCCTACAGTCGTGCTGTGCCCAGGATGGACCCCATGCCGGGCCTTTTGGAGCGGCTTGGGGAGGAGAAGGCTGGAAGCCCAGAGCCAAGATCTGCAGCGTGGCAAGTCACCCCTGTGCTCTCCGAGCAGCAGTCCCGGGACGTCCAGTTGGTGCTGGCCTATGCAGCGCCCATCCTGGACACACGCCAGACCTCACGCCTCCTCAAGGAGGTGTCGGCTGTCTACCCGCTGCCTGCCCAACCTCACCTTAAGAGGGTGCGGCCAAACCAGGATGCCAGTCGCCCCCACACGCTGGAGATGCTGCTGTGTCTGGCGGGGCCGACTGTGGGCGCACCGTCCCTGGCCGAGCTCCTCCCGCAACCCGCCATTGACCCCCGCGGCCTGGGGCCGCCCTTCCTGGTCCCGGTGCCCGCCTGGCCGCCGCTCACTAGGGGCCAGTTCGAGGCGGCACGGGCCCACTGGCCCACGTCCTTCCACGAAGACAAGCAGGTGACGCGTGCACTGGCCGGACAGCTCTTCTCTGCACAGGAGCGGGCTGCGATGCAGGGCCACATGGAGCGGGCTGTGCGGGTGGCCCAGCAGGCCGCCGCCAGAGGCCTGAGGGCCGTCGGGGCGGTGGTGGTGGACCCAGCCTCAGGTTGCGTGCTGGCCACAGGCCATGACTGCAGCAGCACTTCCAACCCTCTGCTGCACGCCACCATGGTGTGCATTGATCTGGTGGCCCAGGGCCAGGGCCGCGGTGCCTATGACCTGGGACCTCATCCCACCTGCTCCTTTGCCCCGGCTGCCACCTCCCAGGCGGTTCGGGTGGGCACTGTGCGCAAGCTGGACGCAGACGAGGACAGCCTCCCCTACGTGTGCACCGGCTACGACCTCTACATCACCCGCGAGCCCTGTGCCATGTGTGCCATGGCCCTGGTGCACTCCCGCATGCAGCGTGTCTTCTATGGGGCCCCCTCGCCTGATGGCGCCCTGGGCACCCGCTTCCGCATCCACGCTCGGCCTGACCTCAACCACCGCTTCCAGGTGTTCTGTGGCGTGTTGGAGGCCCAGTGCCGCTGGCTGGACCCCGACGTGTAGGGGCTGTGCCCTCTGGGGTCCAGGACTACCCCTGCAGCCGGCTGGCCTCCACCTCTGCTCAGACCCCATGGACCCCCAGACTCCCTCCATGGTGCAGGAACTGCTATCCTGTCAATCTTAGGGACACTTGCACTCGTCATCCTCAGAAACTGTTGCTCTGCTGTTCCTGCCAGTGTGTGGGATGCCTTTCTGCCCAGACCAAGCTTCTCCCCGGACTCGGTGAACAGGGATCCAGCCCTGGCCATGTACCCGGGCATTTGGGCCTTGCTGCTCTGGCTCCATCAGCCCTGAGCGCATGGGTCCTGTGGGGTTCTTTCTACTTTGTTTCAGGTGTCAGAAAACAGCTCTGATACGTAAAAATAAACAACCCCAAAACTGGGTTGGTGTCTGTTGACAGGAGCAGGCTGTGGAACTGAGGGGGTGGCCTCCTGAGCTGTCATGGGCCAAGACCTGGGGTTATTTTGGGGTGGGGGCGAGCCAGGTGGTACTCCCCGCTGCGTCTGTATCGTCGGCCTGGAGGGTTCCCTTGTCCTTCACAGGTGGTCGGAGGGTCTCCAAGGGGCCAGCAGGGATGTGCCAAAGAGGAGTTGTGCCAAAGACTCTGCTGGCAGAGTCTGTGGGGCAGAGCAGTACTGCACGGGGGCTGGTATGGTGGACGACAGGGGCGCCACATGGCGGTGCCCTCACTCACTTGCAGGGTGGAGCATGGGAACTCGGTCACTGGAGTCTTGTTGCCGGGACTGTGGGTGAGAAACACATCTCAGTTTCCCCCCAGTGTCCAGCTCCAGGCCTGGCTCACTGCCGCTGCCCGTCCCTGTGCCCCGGAGCTGCGCTGTGCATATTGGGTGGGCACTGTCCATGGCCACAGCAGCATGGCTTGTTTCCTGAAGGTGACACCACTGTCTACCAGCTGGGCAGTCATGGAAATGACCAGTTCTGTCCACTGTGCCTTTTGTGGGATCTTGGTATGTGTGGCTGCTCTGCAACATGAGCTCCGGGGCTGCATTATCTTGTGATGGTGTCTTCAGTCTTGCCAGGTTCACGTGGGGGAAAATGGAGACCAGTGAAATTGTGTGACTTGCCTGAGGTCACACAGCTGTGGCTCAGAAGTCATGCCCTGTGGCCCTAAGGAAGTGACCAGAGCCATCAGTGGATAGTGGGGCATCTTGAAGTGTGTGAGGACAACAAGAAGGCCAGAGACCAGTGAGGGCAGGTTCCTGGGATCCCAGGAATATGTGGCTGTGGATGGAACCTGGCTATAACCTGACCCTTTTCTAGCCATCTCAGAGCTGCCCAGCCTGACTCTGAGGAGGGTCACACATTTGGGGCTGGACTTTCAGAGCTCAGGCATTGGCTAGGACTCTGCCTAGGGTGCTGCTAGTCCTGTAGCTGGTGTTGGAGTCACCCAGCAACTGTGTGGACGCCCTGACTGTGGCTGTCTCCCTTCCAGGTGGCTGCAGGCTTCAGCCCCGCCCTGTCATCACAGCCGAAATGTCAGGTGAGTCTTCCCAGCGGCCCTGCAGGGAGAGCTTTGGCTTCTCTGTCCCTCTTGAAAGTGTCTGCCCTGGTGGACAGAGCTCCATGGCTCTCCACAGCTCTTACCTCACTCCCTCCCATGATACACCTGGTACCCAGCCACATGAGAGGAAGACACAGTTTCCAGTTTCCATGGCTCTGTCAAATGAGCTTCTAGCCTTTCTAGGCTTTTGCCTTGGGAGCTGATTTGGTTGACTCAGAGGGCACTGGGGTTTGGCACCCAGGCTCATATCTCTGCATATGAGCCCACAGGTGTGCCTGCCTTATCTTCAGAAATGAGGGCAGGTGGGCCCTCAAGTGAGGGATGCAGGGGACCCCAGATGCCCCTGTATCAACCTTGCTTCTCAGTGAAAGGTGAGGCATTGGGTGCGTGATGTGCCCCTGTATCTACTCGAAGAAGGCAGTTGGGTGGCTAAGATCAGTAGACCCGTGGCAGGACTAGGATTTGAACCCAGGCCCCATGTGCCAAGTCAGCACAGAACTCCCACCCCTACCCACGTACACAGGCCTCTTACCTGCCAAGAATAAAGACAGCTCTGAGGGCCATGCCATTGGTTTGATGGCTTTCCCCTCCCCCGGTGCTGTGCGGCAGGTGTCTAGTTGCTGGGTGCCTCGGCCAGTCCTTGCTCTCTTGGGGTCCACCTGCTCTGCCTTCCTTGCTGCTAGGCCTGCAGATGCTCACCCCATGACCTTTGTACTTGCCGGGTAGCAGAAAAGGTCTGCTGTGCTATGTGGATTAGCTCTCTGGGCTGGGGCTCCAACTCCAGCTGTAGGGTGATAGCGCTGAAATCACCAGGGAGGCCACTCCCCAGGATTCGAGGGCTCCCGTCTTGCCTCCTTAAGTCTTTGCTTAAATGCCTCCTTTGAGCAAGGTCTGCCTTGATACCCTGAGATGCATTCCCAGTGACCTTCGCCTGGCGCACTCCCACAGTTACTACAGTTATTGGTCCACTCCTACTGGGATGGCAGCCCCTTGAGGACTAGGGACTCCATCTGTCTTGTCCTCCATGTGGCCCCAGATAATGTTCAGGAACCATTCCTGCGATGGTGCTGATGAGAGAACACATCGTGCAAGGCTATAGGGAGCTCAGGTGTTGCGGTGCTGTCAGTGGAGCTGTGTCCCCCAAGAGATCCATTTAAGCCTTGACCCCCACCCCACCCCAGGACCTGGGATAGAACCTCATTTAGAAATGGGGGCTTTGCAGGTGAGATTTGTTAAAGTGGAGTCACTCTGGATAGGGGTCCCTGCAGCAACATGACAGCAGTGTTGAGAGGGACATTTGGACATAGACACACAGGAGAAGCCCGTTACTGGGGTGACAGAAGCCCAAGATGTGGGCCCCCAGAAGCTAGAAGACGCAGGAAGTCTCCTCCCCTGAATCCTCTGGAGAGAGCATGTTCTGTGGCACCTTGACCTCAGACTTCTGGCCTCCAGAATTGAGAGAATAAAATCTTAGGCCCCCGGTTCATGGTCATTTGTCACACCTGCCTGGGAGGCATTCCATCCTCAGGCCAGAACCTCCCCTGGAGTCACAGTGCGAGCAACACAAGTGTCAACCGCTGAGGGTGTCCTAGTACTGCTTTGAAAATTTCCCACAAACTAAGTGGCCTTGACAGTGTTATCACCTCATGGCTCTGGGGCCAGGCGTCTAATGTGGCCTCCTGGGTCTAAAGCCAGGTATGGGCAGGCTGGATTCTCTGAGAACCCAGGGGACCCCTCTCCTCCTCCTAGTTTAGAGGCGCTGCATCCTGAGTCTGGGGCCCTTCCTCCATCCTCACAACGAGCAGCAGCACAGCGTCTTCCTGCCTCTCTCTGACCCTCTACCCCCTCTTATAAAGTCCCATCGTGAGGACACTGGCCCCCCAGGAATCCAGGATCCTGCCCCATCTCAGGGTACTCAACTCAGTTTCACCTGCAGAATCCCCTTTGCCTTGTGAGGGGACATGTCCCCAGATCCCAGAACCAGAGTGGGGATGTCTTTGGGGCTGTCATCAAGCTGACCCCAGCATAGCCTTTGTCTTGTTATTTGTCCTGCAGAAAAAGAGAACAACTTCCCGCCACTGCCCGGGTTCATCCCCCTGAAGCCCTGCTTCTACCAGAATTTCGCTGATGAGATCCCCATCGAACACCAGGTCTTGGTGAAGAGGATCTACCAGCTATGGCTGTGTGAGCTGCGGGGGGCAGATGGGGTCTCCTTCACCATTGCAGGGACCCAGGCTGGGTGTGTCCGGGCTACCATGGAGCTGCCCTTCCTTGGGCTGGGAGAGCCTTGAGCTTCGGTTAATAAATGTCTTCCTGATAAAATTCCGTTCTGGAGGTAGCAGGGTGCAGTGCACGGAGCAAATCGGGGTGGTTGGGCTGGAGCCCTGTCCCCTGACCCCTTCTCTAACACACTGTCCCTGCGCTGAGGGAGCCTGCGCCCTGGGCAGGCGGGTGGGAGGTGGCCTGGCAGTCTCTAGCGTGTTCAGCTCTGTCTCTCTGCCCCTCAGTCTACTGTGCCACCCTCGGGGTCAACCTCGTCGCCTGCCTGGCCTGGTGGATTGGCGGTGGCTCTGGAGCCAACTTTGGCCTGGCCTTGGTTTGGCTGCTGCTGTTTTCCCCCTGTGGCTATGTGTGCTGGTTCCGGCCTGCCTACAAGGCTTTCCGGTAAGTCTGAGTCCTGGCAAGTGTCTGGTGCTGAGGTCGCCTCAAAACAGAAATGCTGGTCTCTGTGTCAATCCCCACCCAGAATCTGGACCTGGCTGCCCGATGAGCCTTGTCTCCTGACCTAGTTGTTAGTAACCACCCCTTTCTCTTGTCCTATTTGGATTTTGGCTCGTTTCAGGGGTCTGCAGACTGGCCTGTGGGCCAGATTCACTTGCTGTCCTCTTTGTTCTTTAATGACAACTTTATTGAGTTGAAGTTTATGTAACATACAACTCATATGCTTGATGGTTCAGAGTTCCAGTCCCTGTCCCCATCAACAGTCACCCCATCTCCAACCCACTTCTGTCTGGCTGTGCCTGTTCTGGATATTTCTCATCAATGGACTCACACACCATGTGGCCGCCTGAATCTGGCTTCTCCCTGAGCATCATGTGTTCCGGGTCCCTCCCTGTGGTAGTGGGTGTCAGAGCTGCCCCCCTTTTCATGGCTGAGTGATGGTCACAGATACCTTGTGTGTATCTGTTCATCTGTGGATGGACACTTGTATTGTTTCCACCTTTTGGCTGTTGTGAGTCATGTTGCCATAGCCTTTGGCCCCAGTCACCCCGTTACTCAGGCGTGGCTTAGAGGCCCCAGGATGGTCCGTGTCCCAGGCTCTCACTGAGTCAGACAGACTCCAAAGGCCCTTCTTGGAGACGAACTGGAAACATTTGTACTCACTGGACAGAAGGGGCCGTTATTTGAGGTCCAAGCTGGCTTGGGCAAACAGGCACAGGAGCACCACGGGCTTGGGGAGCATCTGGGAGCAGCCTGTCTCCCCTGCCCTGCCTTGAGCCCAAGCCTCCCCTCTTGCCAGCGGAACTGGAAGTGGCCTGGCCAGGCCCCCTGTAGTTCTTACACGTGCTGAGGGCAGCGTGCGGCAGTGTCCACAGCAGAGAGAGCATCCTGAATCCTAGGTGCACTGTGTCCTGAGCTGACCTTTAGTGAGTGAGGCCAGGACCTGGGTAATGGATGTGTTTTGTCTCCCCAGAGCTGACAGCTCCTTTAATTTCATGGCATTTTTCTTCATCTTTGGAGCCCAGTTTGTCTTGACTATCATCCAGGCTATTGGCTTCTCTGGATGGGGTGCATGGTAAGTGAGCCCACCACTCTAACAAAGGGGTCCCCCCCAAATGAATAACTGCCAAAAGAGAATACAAGTTTGTTTATTCTCTCTTTTTTTTTTTTTTTTTAAAGATTTATTTATTTATTTATTTATACAAGCACTGGGTACAGTCAGAAGCGTGGGAGGGTAAGAGAATTCACCAGAGCCAGAGGGGAGAGCAGAGCAGGCAGACTGACGAAGTACGCTGCTGAGTGGAGCAGCGGGCGGCAGGAGAGGTCTGCGCGCCATGTGGGACCCTCGCCCGGAGGCTGGGGATCGAACCGGTGCTGCAGAGGCTGCGGGCAGCTTTGCAGTCCAGCGCTCAACCGCTGCGCCACCAGGGAGGCCCCATGTTTATTCTCTTATAAACAGTCTAAGGTGGTGTCAGGTAGAGTGGGTGGGGATCTGTTCTAGGTTGTGCAGTGAGTAGGGTGGAGGGAGCCTCGGTTTCACTCTTACCCGGACTTTGTACCCGAGGGTCCACCTTGTGTCCTCCTGGATAATAAGTGGTCAGCCAGCCAACCCTGGCCACAGGGGAGACTGGGAAGGATGATCCAGCAGTTACCCTGGGAGGAAGGGCTTAGGACTGGAGAACTCACCCAGAAGAACCAGTGGGGGTTGTCTTTGACCTCCACCATCCATTTTATATATGAAGGGCAGAGGTCCCTTGTTTGGTGGACTTGGTGGTATCCATTCAATCTCTTGCCCCTGCAGCGGTTGGCTGGCAGCTATAGGATTCTTCCAGACGAGCATCGGAGCTGCCATTATCATGCTACTTTCAGCCATCATGTTCTCCATATCAGCCACCTTGATGGCCATTGCGATCATGAAGGTAAGTCCTCAGGGCCCCAGCCATTATCTTCCTGTTACTTGTTTCAGGAGCAAGGGAAAGTGTGTGTGCGTGTGCTTGTGTGTGTGTGTGTGTGTGTGTGTGTGTGTGTGCATGTGCGAGTTAGCAGGGAGCCTCTTCTGTGCCCTGGACTTTCCATTACTACCCTTCCTGCTCTACCCATGGAGGCCTGCTAAAAAGGGCGATGATTGAAGTGTGTAACTACACCTGGTTTTTGTTTTTTTTTTGCTTTTTTAAAGATTTATTTATTTATGCACACAAGAGCTGGGGTACAGACCAGAGATTGTGGTGGGTGAGAGGATTCACCAGAGACAGAGCGGGGAACAGAACAGGCAGACTGACTGAAATACACTGCTGAGGGGAGCAGCGGGTAAGGCAGGAGAGGTCTGCTGCGCCATGTGGGTTGCTCCCTGGTCGGCCGGGGATCAAACTCGTGCTACAAAGGCTGCAGATTGCTTCATAGTACGGTGCTTAACCCCTTGTGCCACCAGGGAAGCCCTTTTTTTTTTTTTTTTTTTAAAGAATTTTTTTTTTAATTTATGCATACAAGAACTGGAGTGTAGGCTGGGGGGGACGGGGGGGGGGGTGGTGGTGAGAGGATTCACCAGAGACAGAGTGGGGCAGATCTACTGCTGAGGGGAGCAGCGGGCAAGACAGGAGAGGTCTGCGTTGCCATGTGGGTCAACTACCTGCCCGGGGATGGAACTCGTGCCGCAGTGATTTGGGGATAGCTTCATAGTGCTGTGCTTAACCCCCCGTACCACCAGGGAGGCCCGCTACACCTGCTTTTGGTGTGCTGTTCACTAGAGCTCCTAGCTCATGCCTGATTTGACCACCTCTGGCCAAATGTTGCTTTTTATAGTTAAATTCAAATTGAGAAAATAAAATTAAACTAGAAATTCAGGGTGTCTAGCATACCCCTTTCATCTCAAGTGCTCAGTGGTTTCATGGGACTGGTAGCCCCAATCAGCCAATGCAGGTGCTATCTCAGAAAGTTCCCTGGGTGGCGCCACTCCAAAAATTTGGAGACTGAAGCTGAGGAAGTCATTGTAGTCAGGGTACATCACCAGTGTGAGTGTCACCCCTGAACCGTATGAATACCTCTGAGGCAGCTCTTAGGACTTGGCTGGAGGCTAGTGTCATGAAGGTCCCTGAAGTTGCCCTAAGAAACATGGGACAGGCATGGGCATCGGTTACGTCCACCTGAGGCCGATGGGTGGGCACCTCATCTGGCGGTCGCAGATGACTTCTTACTTCCCCAGGCTATTCTGCCATCCCTCTCAGGTCTTCCCATGTGGCTCCCAGAGCCCAGGGCTGCCTGACTGGCATCGATTTTAATTTTATTTTATTTTTTAAAGATTTATTTATTTATTTTTTTATTAAAGATTTGTTTATTTATTTATACAAGCACTGGGTACAGTCAAAAGCACGGGAAGGTGAGAGAATTCACCAGAGCCAGAGCGGGGAGCAGAGCAGGCAGACTGATGAAGTACACTGCTGAGGGGAGCAGGGGGCGAGACAGGAGAGGTCTGCTTCGCCGTGTGGGATACTCGCCGGCCAGCCAGGATTGAACCCTCACTGCAGAAGCTGCGGACAGCTCCACGGTGCGGCGCTCAACTGCCTGCACTACCAGGGAAGCCTTGGCATCGATTTTAACTATTGTGTTGTGAGTTTCTTACAGCCTCCTTACTGAGTGATTCCAGCTCAGGGCTATTTCACAGCCTGGGCTCGATACCCAGGCTTTATGGGTGAACAAAAAAATGCTATACTACCCTTAATCCTCCCAGCTGCACAGTCGATCTGAAGGAAGAAAGTAGGAATCCACAGAAACCAAGAAAACACTTGGAGAAGCCCAGTGTGACTCAAGGGAAGATTCCAGAATGTGTCTTCCAAGGAAAGATGAATACATTTCCCACCAAAAAATGCTCAGTAGTAAGCAGCATAAAATGGAAAGCAGTAGAAGCTGAGAATATCTGTAAGGTGTGAGAGAAAGGGTTTATGTACTCAATAAGAGTGAATTATTCTAAGGGTAGAAATGACACCCCTGTCCTCCCCTCCCCCCCTCACATCAGGGTCCCCAGAACCAGGCCTGGGTTTGGAGATTGTCGGGGAAGATAATTGCACAGAAGACAAATTCCCGTGGGAAAGGACAGACATTCAGTTTCACTGTTAATCAAGGATGTCAAACTGAACGCGCCATTTGCTAGCTTGTGGAGCTCATCTGGACTGGGGAGATCGTACAGTTCTGTGCTCGGAGGCGCTGCCTCTCTTACAGTGGGGACAGTGTTCTTTTCCTGGGTCTCAGCTGAGGAAATTATCACTGGCAACCAGAGGTGATGTTAATAACGGGCAGAGCTCTGGACCTGACACGCCCGTGCCAGGAGGCCAGGTGGTGCTGTCCAGGGCACTGGGCAGGTCAAAGGGGCCAGAGCTGCCCTGTGAGGCCTTGAGTGTCTAGTGAAGTTTGTCAGGAGAGACAGGCCCCAAACCTGCTGGTGGGATGATCATCCCTTTTACATAAGAAATGCCGGTGGCTGAGGAAATGGTTTTATAGCAGCGGCAGAATGAACACCAAGAGACAACTGGGGTTGTAGCTCTGGGTGGAAACTTCTGAGTCTACAATCTTGGCTTCTGTTTGTTTCTGAAGATTGCACACAGACTTTTCTGTTAGTCATGTTGCTCCATGAAGCTTTGGTCATTGAGGGGTCACCTATATGAGCAAGTTTGTGTGATTGCGTGTTGATGTTTACAAGGACGAAATGGCCTAGTGACATGCGTGGTCTGTGGCCTCAGTATGTGGTAAGCGACGCTTATCTTTTATTTGAGAAAATCATTACCTTAAACACCAGGGAGGGGGCCCTCCCCTGGTGGTGCAGGCGGTTGAGCACCGCACTGTGGAGCTGTCTGCAGCGCTGCAGCCTCTGCAGCGCTGGTTCAACCCCGGCCAGCCGGCGAGAATCCCACATGGTGCAGCAGACCTCTCCTGTCTCGCCGGCTGCTCCCCTCAGCAGTGTATTTCGTCAGTCTGCTGTTCTGTTCCCCACTCTGGTGAATTCTCTCACCCTCCCACGTATCTGGCCTGTGCCCCGGTTCTTGTATGCATGAACAGATAAATCTTAAAAAAAAAAAAAAAAAAAAAAACCACCAGAAGGGCTTCATATAGAGCAGCAAGTTGATTTCTCTGTTCTGCCACACACATCCTTTGTTCCCGCAGGTGCACAGAATCTACCGGGGGACTGGTGGAAGCTTCCAGAAGGCACAGACAGAGTGGAATGCAGGCACTTGGCGGAACCCACCATCTCGGGAGGCCCAGTACAACAACTTCTCAGGGAACAGTCTGCCTGAGTACCCCACTGTGCCCAGCTACCCAGCAGGTGGCAGCCAGTGGCCTTAGAGGGAGCTGGCCGGCCCACCTCCCCTCCACTCCTGCCACTGTTCTAGGTCCTGTGAGGCCCTGAGCCTCTGTTCCCCTCCCTCCTGTCAACAGCTCAGCCTCTACTTCAGCTAGGACAGTTGAAGGACTCAGTAGCCGTCCGAGGCTCCCCCAGCTGAGATGCGGACCCCAGGAGCCCGTGGTCATCTCACTTCCAAGGGTAGAGCCCCTTGCAAGCTCAAGTAGGACGCCCCTCTTGCTTCCAGAAATGTTTGGTCAATGTGTGGTGGTCATGTCCTCCCCCCTCAGGGTCTTGGGGGACTGACCTTGGGCCTCCCCAGGGAGAAGTGTCAGCAGGCTGGCTGATTGCCCTCCGTCCAGAGCTGATGATGCTCAGAAGCACCCCACCTCGTGGACACCCCCACCCTCTCAGGACAGCTGCTCCAGGAAGAGGGGATCTTGGCACCAGGACCCAATCTCCTGAGTGTGACACAGGGACTTGGTATAAAACCAGGTCCTTGACATTTTTCATAGCCTCTGTCCGCCTATACTGGTGGGCACTAATGGATGAGCCTGGGGACAGCAGAAGCATTTCGCCCCCTCAGGAGAGTGGTCTGAGCTCCCCCTTTGTCCATCTGTCCCAGTTGTTCCACGCAGGGCTGTTGCCAGCCTCCTCCCTGCCCGCAGTCACCTCCACTCCAGGAAGTCTCTTCCCCACAGCAGGAATTTGGAGCTCCAGCAGCAGAACTTTGGGCAGGACCTCAGTCTGTACCTGAAGCCTGGGACAGAACCCCGTTGGGGAGCAAAGGGGGATGTCAACCTTCCCTCCCATCGTGCAGACCGTAGTAGCTGACAGCACTTACGTGTCCTGAGGTCACCGCCTGCCCTAAGCCCAAGGGACACCGGCTGGCTGCCCGAGTGTGCAGCCCGAACAGCCTCTGGCCTGCAGGAGGAGGGGTGCCGGGTGCTCAGGAGAGCCTTTTAAAGGAACGGCAATAAGTTTCTGTGCCTTATTGAGGAATCTAAATAAGTGTCCCTTTTCTCGCCCCTTGATTCCTCTGACTCCACAGGAAGCACTGGGTGTTGCGTGGGGTCCCGTGGCACCTTCATGACTGAGAGGTTTAAAGGAACCCTATAGCCCCTAGTCCTTGCTGGCCAGGTTTCCATGACAACCATGGATAGAGCATCTGGGGTACCTGAGTTCTCACCCCCCACCCCACCCCACCCCTGCCAGCTTCCTGTTCCTCTGGCAGCACCAGGACCCTTCTACATCATAGGCATCCCCGCAGGGTGCCACTTCTCCCAGAAGCCTCCCCGGTGTAGCCAGAACATGTCTGCTCCTATGCTTCCTGCTGTTGCTGGCTGCTTGTGCTGCCACTTGGTGTCAGAGGTGACCACCATCCCTGGAGGGGTCGCCCAGGCCTGGGTCCCCTGTAACAGCCTCAGCTTGGTCTCCTATGACTGGCATGTGCAGAGCTAACGCTGTGGCTGCATCTCGTCATCATGTAACACCCAGTGACAAGCCATTCGCCAGGCACAGGAGGAGAATTGTGGTTTTAACAGCAGCTTCTCCCCCAGACCCGTCTTGTACTTTGCACCTTTGTTACGTTGTGGGTTTTGTTACCTGAAAATAATCCAGGAAATAAATCGGTCTTCTTTATGCATCAGGCTGTGCTTCAGGGGGCTGCATTTGTGTGGGTGTGTGCGCCTTGCCTGACGCCTCCTCCCTGAAGGATCCCAGAGTGTGTGGACCCTGTCCCTGGCATGCCCAACCCTCCTGGTGTCCCAGGGAGAAGCCCAGCACCCTAAACACCGTGCTCCTCTCACCCAGCAGTGAGACTGGTAAGTCCACTCACTTCACACCCAATAATTTTCATTTGAAAAGGGACATTTGCGGGGCCTCCCTCGTGGCACAAGGGGTTAAGGCGCGACCTATGAAGCTATCCACAGCCATTGCAGCATGAGTTTGATCCCCAGCCAGGGGTGTAACCCACAGGGCGCAGCAGACCTCACCTCACTCGCCCACTGTTCCCCTCACCAGTGTATTTCAGTCATTCTGCCTGTTCTGTTCCCCACTCTGTCTCTGGTGAATCCTTTCACCTCCCATACCTCTGGCCTTTACCCCATTCTTGTATGCATAAATAAATAAATCTTAAAAAAAAAAGAAAGAAAGAAAGAAAGAAAAGGGACACTTTGCAAAGAATGAACAAGCAGCACCCTGCAGGAAAAGTACCCATAAAAGTGCCAGCTGGGGGTTGTGGGGGCAGCTCTTGGTGGCAGAGTAGCTGCCCCATGTGGGCACGCCAGCGGTCTTCCACGTGCCATTTTGCCACCCTGGAATGGGTCAGCCTGCAGAGAGGAACTCGGCTGCGCAAATCCAACACCATGGTTTGCACAGGTTCCCCCAGTTCACGTGTCAGGACTGCTACCCCCAGGACCTCATTTGGAGATGGGGTTTTTGCAGGAGTGATAAGGTGAAGCCACACTACCCCAGGTGCCCTCCCATACCTTTGGCCTTTACCCCAAAACTTGTATGCATCATAATCAATGTGATGGTGATACCAAGCAAAACCAAAGGGTGCCCAGGGACCCAAAACTGTTAAGGGGGAACCCTGTGTTGCCCCTTCTAGGGGCTAATGCTCACCACCTATATACCGAGGACAAGGTGTTCAAATGCCAGAGTGCTCAGTTGTTTTCATCAGTTCAAGGGGAGCAGGGAGAAGAGCAGGGCAGAGAAGGATTTCAAAATCCAGACTCCCCATCAAAGTCCAGAATTCACCATCCCGTCATGGGCAAGTCTTCAGACAGACAGAGCCCAGGATAGGGCCGCCAGGAGAACGAGTCCAAGGCACCTCAGGCAGGAGACACAAGGGTTGCCCCGGGTCCAGAGAGTTGGGAGAGGAGAGAACCAGAGTTCAAAATGTAGCACCCAATTTATAGCCACCACGAGATCAAGATGGTGGCAGCCATGGTCTCTCTCTCTCTCTCTCTCTCTCTATTGTGCTTCCTGCTATAGTGATGAAGGTGGGGCACTGCTGAGGTGGGACAACATGCCTGTGTTTTTTTTTTTTTTTTTAAAGATTTATTTATTTATTTATTTATTTATTTATTTATACAAGCACTGGGTACAGTCAGAAGCGCAGGAGGGTGACAGAATTCACCAGAGCCAGAGCGGGGAACAGAACAGGCAGACTGACAAAATACACTGCTGAGGGGAGCAGCGGATGCAGCAAGAGAGGTCTGTCATGCCATGTGGGACCCTCGCTGGCGGCCGGGGATCGAACCAGCGCTGCAGGGGCTACAGGCAGCTTTGCAGCCCAGCGTTCAACTGCTGTGCCACCAGGGGAGGCCCGTTTTTTTTTTTTTTTTTTTTTTTTTTAAGATTTATTTATGTATATAAGAGCTGGGGTGGAGGCCAGAGGTGTGGGGGCTGAGAGGATTCACCAGGGACAGAGTGGGGAGCAGAACAGGCAGATCTACTGAAACACTGCTGAAGGGGCGGGGGGCAGCGGGCAAGACAGGAGAGATGTGCTGCGCCAGGTTGCTCCCTGGCTGGGCATTGAACTCAAGCTGCAGTGTCTGCAGATTGCTTCATAGTGCAGTTACATGGTACAGATCTGTCTTCTTGTGACTTTTTTTCAGAGAATGGGGAGACCCGTGAGTGGACAATTCACCCCAAGAGTTTCTGCACCCTGGGGTCCTCTCTAGATGTCTTCTGCTTCAGTTTCCCCACCACAGCACACAACATCCAAAGAGAGTTGTCCCAGCCAGTCTTGTGCATGTGGTACCAGGGCCTGCCTTGGCTCAAGTGTCAGTGGGACTAGAGGCGGGATGCTGGGCCCAGCGCTGTCCACTGGCGGGAGCAGGAGCACAGGAAGTTTGAATTGGGGGACAGTGTTTAAGTCACATTGTCTCCCTAAACCTCAGTTTATACACATGGAAAATGGTAAAGTGCAAGGCCCAGTCCCTGCCCAGTAGGGGGAGACCTGGCTGCAGGAAGTGCTAATTTAAATACAAGAGTGAACCAGGCTCTGCTTGTGCCTTTGCGGGCTGGGGACGCCAGGAAGTGGCCCTGAGGCCGCCCACAGTCTCTCTGAAAGGGCGAGACAGATGAGCAAGGCTCTTATGAGAGTATAGGAACAGAACAGAAGGGGGCGTTTCCTGCCTGTCTCCTCCCCCAAATCCACAGCTGTTTGGGATTTACTGGGAGACTGGGATATTGTCTTCCTGGGGGTTGGCGGGCAATGGGAGAACAGTTCATCAACTTTACAGTTCTTATTTTATCCAGACATCCAGAGAGACTGTTTTACACCCCAGGTATCCCAAATGGCATCCCCATGATCAAAGCCAAAAGGAAGCAGGAACATGTGAGCCATATTTTAAGTGGGTTAGAAATGAGGAAGCATGAAAGGCCATTTGCTTTTTTCAAAGATTCCAAGTAATTAGAGAAATATGTTTCTTTGAGGCAAGAGGCCTTACACTGGCAATTCTGTGTTTGTTAATTCTTGGATTTCCATGATATCCCCACAAGGCCTACTGTGAGTTCTAACTTAGGGAAAAAGCCAGCAACTTAGGGAGAAAGTCAGCAACCTATACATAATACAGGCTGGTGAATACACATTGTAGTGGCAGGAGGGCACGGAGCAGGATCTCTATGACCCGAGCAGACAGAGTAAAGGAGGAATCCTGGAGCTCTCGGTGGCTTTTGCAGGCTTTTCTTGTGATTTACCAGGTACACAGCAGGCAGGGGTGCCGGGAGGCTGGCAGGCCTCCCAGCCCCAAGCAAGTCTTCACTCTTTCTGGGCTCTCCAATGTTCTCTCGTGTTCTCTCTGCTTCTCTCGTGGTTCTGGTGGCATCCTGGTGACGCCGCCCTAATAAGCACAGTCTCTCAGCCCAGGTGTACCCACTTACACATGCCCACACCTCACTCCAGGTGCCCGTCATCAGGCATGTATTCAGGACCTCAGGGATCCATCATCAATCCTGATGGCGGGAGGGCAGACAAGCCTGATACTTTTTATTTACCCTACACGCACACACACCCCCTCTGGCCTACAACCCAGTTCTTGTATGCATAAATAAATCAATCTTTAAAAATAAATAAAATAATAGGCTTATTTAAAATTCATCTTCTCCACCAGCTGTCCATGCCCGTGACACCAGTAGTCATACAGCCTCTGCCTGGCACAACCCTAGCCTTGGCCTTCAATATTCTGTATTTCAGGTGCGCAAATCACCTGTCACCTGTCTTTTACAGGGGCAAGGCTCAGGGTTAGGGGTCAAAAAAGAGGAAAGGCCACCATGCCCTCTGTCCCATGGGACTTGAGTGCCTGAGAAATTTTCCTGAATGTCAAGAGTGGGATTGCTCAGGGGTAAACTCAGAGCTCAGGGGTAAGAAAAGAAACCCTGAGTTCCCTAGAATCCGGAGGACTGTGGAGTTTGCTCCTTTATTCAGTCATTCGCCACAGACAGAGTGCCTACTGTGTGTACAGGCACGTCAGCATGCAAAGAAGCTGCAGTCCCTTGTGAGGATAAATGGTGGAGCAGATGAATTTTAAATAAAAACATTTTATTTTTAAAGATTTATTTATGCATACAAGAATGGGGGTGTAGGCCAGAGGTATTGGGGGTGTGTGTGAGAGAGGATTCACCAGAAACAGAATGGGGAGCAGAACAGTCAGATGTACTGAAATACAGTGTTGAGGGGAGACAGGAGAGGTCTGCTGCACCATGTGGGTAGCTCCCTGGCTGGGGATCGAACTTCTATTGCAATGGCTGGTGATAGCTTGATAGTGCTGTGTCTTTAACCCCTGCACCATAAGGGAGGCCCAACAAACACATTCCTTTATGATAAGGTGCAGAGAGGAGCGGGTCAGAATGCAGTTTGAGGAAGGATTACCCTGGATAGGGCCTGGGCTCCTGGAGGTGGTGACACTGAAAATGGGCCTGAAAGAGAAAATGGGGGCCCTCCCCTCACACTGCTGCAGGAAAAACCCTGGCATCTGCCTCTGCAAGGGATTACCTCTAAATCGCTGCCATTCTGTCTTCCCCCTTGGTTATGTTTCTCTTCCCTGTTTTCCTTGACATTCCATCTGACTACAGTGCAAAAAATCCATAATCTAATTGATAATCGGGGACAATGGGATCTTCCACACTTCTGAACACATCTAGCTTTTAGACATTAGGGCTAGGGTGTCCTCATTCTGCCACATGCCACCTTATAACACCATCTGAAAGCATGAAGGCCAATCATTTACTGGGCCTCCCCCAGGAATGAGGACTCCCTGGAAAGCGATGCCAGGAGTCTGGCTCACTGTTCTGTTCTCAGAGCCATTGGCAGGCATTTAAATATGTGAATGGATGTGTCTCCTTCAGTGTTAACAACCCTATGGAGAGATGCCTGGTGGGGTGTGCCAGGAGCACCCTCCCTGTTCCAGGCCCTGTTCTGGGGGGAGCAGAGTCTCACTGCCGGGCCCTTGGCAGTTACCCTTTTCAGGTTGCACCCTGGTCCTGGCGATGGACTACAATGCAAACTGCATTTATCGAGCACCAGCTGTGTGCTTGGGCCCAGCAGTACCCTGGACCTGGTGCCCGGGCGGCACGTGGAGGGGCCCGGTAAACCCTCTTACTTTGCTGCCCAGTTACACCACCATTTCCGAGGGCTCCAAGGAACCCCGCAATCAAGCCTCACAAAACCCTTTCACTTCTCGCCCTGCCCCACCCGGAAAGCCGTTGTCCACAAGTTGGCCACGCCCCGCGGCGCCGCCGGCCTTGACGTAAGGTGGCGAGACCGTGACGTCACAAGAGCGGCGCGGAGGCGGTGCTAGGGCGACGGGTTACGCGTC